ATTATAATATACTGTTTGTAAGTTATTTCAAACCATATAGAATAAATAATATATACAATTATAATACTATTTATGTAGCTAGTGTTTTTACGTGATGGATACTCAAAATATATGGTTATAGTTATGTTGATACCATAGCCATCAACAACAAAATTAGATCGAAGATATAATTGTTTCACTGTTTTAATTATWAAAAAAAAAAGAAATGGAGAGAAATTTCGGTAACCTTACAGTCTACGAAGATGCTGACAAAATTTATATTATCTTTATAAACCTAATATAAAATATGTTATTTGAGTAAACGTTCTTACACTCGTATGTGTCTTAATATTGTTCATCAATTATCGATGATTATTGAAAGAGGTAAATAGATTTAGTACAAAAAATGTGTAAATCTTGTCCTAGTTTTTATTAATTGTGATTTCAAAATAAATTTTACTTATAGTGGTTATACTTATTGAAATATTTTAATCCTAAAAATAGTTGTGAGGTACGTCGTTAATCCTACGAGGTACGAATGTACTGATCAAAATATTTCTGCCTTCTGGTAAAAAAAAGTGACACAACTTCTCCGTTCTGAATCGTTTCTCGTATTTCAAATATAAGATATAACATATACATTACAACAACATGCCCGACAACTATATACCTACTGTAAGCAGAGCGGTTTATTTTTTTTTTTAAGTAGTAGGTAACTGGATCACATAGTATCTATCTTGTAGTATGGATAGTATTATTTTTACTTAAAACCGTGAATATACAGTAATTAATTAAAAGCAAACATTTCAAAAACTATTTAATTTTCACTTGCACAGATGGATTTTTAAAGCAACTAAACAAACCATATTGTTTCAACATTGAATTTGTAAGTAAAAAAAAAGAAAGTTATCTAACGATTCGTGTTAAAATATTAACAATTAGTTAACTTTAAAACTATAGTTAATGCCTAACTTTGCTTGTTTTATGATATAATAGGCACAGACTACAGACTAAAGACTTACATTTATTAGCAAACTTCAAAAAACTTTTAAAAACAATGTTATAATAAGTTTGAATGTACCTTAAACTATAGGCTATAAATGATATTACAATTCCATAATTACTTTTRTCTAGTTAGTTAATATAGATGTAACAACAATTTTAATGATTCGGTCACCGTTAATGTTTTATGATTTTCACGATTTCCGTCGAGATAATATAATAATATAAGGACGCCGCCATTATCGGTATCCTGACAAACACTGTCGGATGATTGCGATGAATATTGTCGGCTTACCTATAGATTTCCATTACTCGACACAATAGTCAATAATAATTATTGATTAATAATATTATGTATTATTGTCATGACCGAACTAATGTAACGTTATACTCGCACGCTGGCAAGGTTGAATGTATATATTATACCAAGGTATATGCGACATCATGGGACACTGCGGTTAACTGGTTATTAATCATAAACTATAAACACATTATACGCATTGTCATTCAATACACGATGATAGACGTTTATGGACAACCTATATATAGATGTAGGTAAGTTAGGCATATATATATTACTGGCACGAGTGCAATAACTTACTAACAGCCGTTTAAAATTTTTATTTCGTCGTAGAATTAAATAAAAATAATATGTATATATAAAGTAATATTATAGGCATATAATATGATTTCGTGTAAACATATTTTTTTATGTTTTTGCTATTATTTTTAATTGAAACGTAAAAATGACGCGTACCTACTTAAGTCTAAGTGCATTACACTATTTGTGTACATACATATTTTATAACAATTATTGTTATTATCGTGTATATTGTACAATTTTTTTAACTAAAGATATTATTAGGTATGTATTTTATTTTTATTTTGTGGCTTCTTCTTCATTTGGCATGTATTCTTTCACGGATAAATAGTTTTTGACTATATCTTGAGCCTGTGAAAATTAACGAAATAAAATTACCACCATAAACAGAATAAATATGTATGTTATCATATTAAAGGTACAATATACCTTTCTTCTCACATTGTTATAAAAAAATACTTATATCTTTATTATAGGACTCACGTCCCTTTAATGAATAAATAAATAAAAAAAWAAAATACCATCGGGGAATTCTCCAAGACGCATTTCATAAGCACGTGACCGGCTGTGCAGTGAGTGTTTACTTCTGCAATACAGAAATTTTAAGTCAAGTTTAGGTATATAGTRCCTAGCTCAGAGGTTAAAGTGGGAAAAAATTCCAGAGGGGACTAATGTTTCCAAAAAATTTTAAGCGTTCCATATATAATTTTATGTATAATGTCTAATGTATAAAATCCTAATTTGTTAAAGGGGACGCTTTTTAACCGCCGTCAGAGGTAAGGGGACTGAGCCCTCCTGCGTCCCCCCACTTTAACCCTTGACCTAGCTATTATTAAAGTATATACTAAAATAAGCAGTAATAGGTACTATATAATTCAAAATATAATGCAGATATTGCAGTGCAGTTTTTCCAGTATAATATATGACTAAAATATGACTAATAGCCTTCTACKTTCAAAGCTAGTTTGTAGGGTTATTTATTTATATTATGAGGAAAAAAATGATTTTGGAATCTGTTGAATTTTGAGTGAATGAAATAAACTTCTACTTCCGAAAATAAAGCATTATATTATTATAGGGCTGACGGTATTGAAAATAATTTTCGGTATTACGATATTGATTTCAATACCGGTTTGAAACGTTATACCGAAAAACCGAAAAATTTCGGTTTTGTACAAGGTATGATTAGCAYAATATTATTATTATTATTTACATACGCTGTCATTAAACTGTGAGCATAGAAACGTTTTTGTCATTCGACACAATAAATATAGGTAAGTAGGTACGCTCAATCTACGAAAACGCACTGAGCGTACGTACCGCCCGCAGTTGCTAGCTTCCGGATGGGTGACCGGGATTTTTTTAGCAACATATCYTTGCCACACATACACAAACACGTGTTACAACCCTACCCACTTAAAAACCTACGAACAAATACACAAAAATAACTCATACAGTACCACTCCACACCCAATGGCCTATGTTGCCGCGGGTTCCCCTAAAAAACAAAAATAAATAAATATAGGAAGGTCCTACGTCATATTATTTATCTATTAAGCCGCTTTACGTCACATTCGTACGAGCAGCAGATTTCAAACATCCGTTAATCGATTGAACAAAAATCGCTWGTTGTGTGTCAATCAGTAAAGTATCGTATGTAAGTATCATTGGCATATATAATATTATTATGGTACCTACTACCTATACAATTTGATGTTGGCGGGGGATCTGGGTAACTGCTATACTGCATACTGCATTGTCATTATATTACCCGTATTAATTAGGTAAAGAAAAGTAAAATAGTTAATTAAAAACGTACTAAACTTTAATTTTTAAAACRTTAACTCATGTTTGAAATCAAATTAAATGTCCAGGGTGTCCTTCGAGGATTTATCCATTGTGATATCTCACGAAATAATGAAGATATCAAAATGTTGGTTTTATAATAAGCTCACAGGGATAATAACTACAATCTATTTATTTTAATGTTTTGTAAAACGGTTAAAAAATATGTTTTTTATTTAATTATTTCCAAAAAATTTACTAGGCSATTTTGTAGAGTTTATTTTTATGAAAATATTGACGCTTCAACATTTTATTTTCATTAATTTCCTGGTTTTAATATTTTTTTAGTTTGAAGAGATAAAATTATGTATATAATATTATAGAATGAATAATCTTTTTAAAATATTATTTTATTATGACTAGAAAGATACTTATAAAGATTATTCAATGATTAATTATATCCAGTTAAAATGTAATATTAAACGAGTATACGAAAAATAAGGATGATCTACTATCAAAGAATATTCGGTGTTACTTGGTGAGGCACACTGAAAGTGTTTGACCAGCCGTAGAGGTAGAAGAACACTCGCGGCGCGGCTTGTGACACAATATATGTTTGACAACACTACGGTGTTAAATAATTCGTAATTTTTCTCGAAGCTAAAAAAAAAATTAAAAATCAGGAAATTATTAAAATAAAATTTTGAAATGTCAATATTTTCAGAAAATAAACTACAAATGGCTATAGTGATTTTTTTTGGAAATAATAAAATATAAAATTTTATTTTTTAGCTTATTACCAAAACATTAAAATATGAAATAATTGTAGTTCTTATCCATATGAGTCTTATTACAAAACCATAATTTCGATATCTCCATTATTTCAGRAGATATTGTAATGGGTGAATCCTCGCGGGACACCATTTATAATCCTTGAATATAGAACACATTTCGTTTTAATAAGAAATACTATAATATTAAATGATTAAAAAAATATATATTATCTTCAAAATAATTGTCTATTTATAAACGGTTTAATTTTATTGGAAATGTTGAAAAACAGAAACTATCCAGCTCTCAAAAACTGTTTTTTATGGAAAATAAATATTTAATGAAAATTTAAAGTATTTACGTTTATTATTTGTATAAATTAAAACTTGTCATCCCTAACAATCACTCATCAGTCGCATCCACCACACTAAATAATGCGTTATATGCTCTATGAGGAATTTACAATACCCAGCACCCCATGTTTTAAAAATCTAGTTGCATTGTCTGATAATATATTATTATATGATTATATTATATAACAATAAAAGAATTATTTAAATATTAATATCACCGTCCATGCAGTGCGTTTGTAGTATGATCGACTCGTTCTTGAGCATTTCGTTGTTCATTAATTCCGATAACTCTTTAAATCTGGCCCAGTTCCACTTGCCGGTATCCGAGTTCATCTAAAAAACGAAATGAATTATCACGATATTATAATGATAAACGCATTATATTATATACAAAAACGATCATACCGTTCCCATTTTCTTCGCCACACACGGTCCGAAGCACTGAAAAAATTAAATAAGTACGAGTACCAGTATTAATCCATCAATTTCGCTGAACTTTCGTAAACAGCAAATATTATTATGTATGCACAATTCACACGATGCTGATTTGTCAGACCGCTTAAAGCTATACAACTGTGTCGTGTTATTTCCAAAAGTTAATATATCTGCCAATCACTTGAAATTTCCCGGTATAGATCGTGCAGGTTATTATTGATATACTACATGATTGCAATGGCTAATCAGAATACGATTTAAGCATTCGACACGACAGATGACGTATAGCAGTGAACTTGCCTTAAACCAGCCGCWTACGAACTRSSYAGGTTACTGCAGACATGATAATATTTATTAAAACAAGATAAATGGCGTTCGTATATAACAGAGGTATTCAAACTTTTTCAGCACGCGGCTCCTTTGGATGTTCACAATATGTTTACGGCTCCCAAATTATTATGAAAAAATTGAAACAACACACGGATACAATATGGGAGATATAATGTTATATGGGTGATAATAACAGTGACTTTAGTACTAGGAATAAAACTTCAAATGGTCGAATCGTAAGGTGTGTCGTTTTCATTTCAATAATGATTGCAGATAATATTTATAAAATTATACAGGACCTACGTATGATGTTGGTTTTCGGTGCTTTGACGCGGCTCCCTTTGCAAACTCTCGCGACGCCCCTGGGAGCCGCGACGCACAGTTTGAATACCTCTGGTATATAATACAACGCCGATGCAAGTGCACTATTGGGATGCCTTTGGATAGATATATTATTTTACGATGAATTTTTCAGATTATTTTATAAGGAGTTTTGCACCCTC